ACATTTTTTTCAATAATTAGTAAAAATTATCGGTACAATGATTTTAAAATAAGAGATAATCTTAACTGTTTTCACCCTTCTTCTTGGTATTCACAGGCTGGAGTGGGTTTCTGCTCAGTAATGGGGTAAGGAAGTGTCACCTCCATTTGTCAGCCTTCCACTGTGAGCTCTGTGCATGCCACACCATTTCTGCAGTTAAACCACTTGGAATTTCCAGCCCAAGCAAACTTGAACATTTGAGTACTTTCTAATCCAACTTTTTAAAATGACAGTAGAGGAAATATAGAGTCTATGACATGAATCTCATGTGCTTTCTTTTCACCTTGGGGAGAGGATAAATTAGCCTCCAACTTCCAAAATATTTGTCAAGTAGTTACATTTTAATTCTAATTTATTTGTGTCTAAATCCAGCAAAGGATTTAAGCATATGCTTATGTTAAATATATGAATTAGCCCAGTAATTCCATAGTTAAACATCATGCAAGCTCCTGATGGATCCTTTTCAGTTTCTTGTCTTCCAGACAGAGTTTGACTTCTATTGTGTGTAACAGATTCATTTTATCTGAAACACCACCTATATGCTGACTATTGCAAAAGTAGCACTAATTTGTCATAACCACTGCAAGCTGGACAGGCCAAGTGAGTTTATCTCAGTGCACATTTCTATCAGATGTTTTCAATGTAACCTGAAAATGTACAATGGAAAATCAGGTGTATCATCTACCAATTAAACACAAACAAAACACAGTTTGTTTTGTAACTCTTCTTTAAAACAACAGATGTTAGGTTAAATCTCATGTTCAGGCATTTATCACATCTGCTTTCTGTTCCCTTGGAAAATGTACTCACAATAGAGTTCAAATTAATTACAATGAGATTTGTCAGCTGAAATCTAAAAGGGAGTTCAGGGAATAAACATTTAATTCTAGAAGGAAATAATTGGTGTTTAAAAGCTTTAAAGTTGTTTTCAGTAGGTTCACATAGGCAAAGCTCCATTATAGACAGTGTTTGAGACCTGTTGTAACCTTCATGGTGTCTCCAAGGAGATTGGAGGCCAGAGGAAGAGGAGATGAAGAGAAGTCTATGAGGCTGTGGAGCCTGAGGGTGCAGGCTGTGGACCTGCAGCTGCACCCACAGCCTTCCCTGGCAACAAGAAACACTTCTGACCTTAAAAATTAATAAATCTTCACTATTCTCTCATAAAACCGGAGCCTGCCAATGCATAGGCACTGAGGAGACTCTAGTAAAGAACTTGCATAATCACCTTTTTTTACTTTAACAGCTTTTATGAGAACATAGAAAGGTCTCCCTCACCTTCCAAGTCTGGAGAGACCTGCAGAATGCTATTGATAAAGACAGCTCTTTAACTCAAAAGGGGTACAATTTGACTAAATTATCCTGCATCCTAACAGTACGGAAAAATGAAAATATTGCTTTGAAGAAAAGGGTTTCATTGCAGCAAAATTACATACATCTAATAAGGTATAATCTAAGACTTGTCCTTCCTATAGGCAACATTTTCTCTGTAGCAGCTCTGAGTTTAATTCCTGCAAGGTAAGACAGCTTTGATCAGGCCCTAAACCAGTTCTCTTGCCAATGTCCCTGGCCTCTTGTAACTGTATTAAAACATTAACACACATATTTTTGGCCAAACAACACCTCTTCCTTTGAGAGACTCCTCTACCCTCACACAGCCTCTCCCAATCCATTTACACACTCCACCATTGCCCTCCCAGTTCCACCTTTGCTATCTTCCAGGCATTTACTCACACCAGTGTGTTGCAACAACTCAACATTTGGCTCTTCCCAACTCCCTCAGTAAATGGCATTTGTCTCTTGAAGTCACCAGTGCTTTGTTCCACCACCCCAGTGCATGGGGGTGTGTATGACTAACTTGGCATTCCATCCTCCTGCCCCCAGAATCAATCTCTAGCTGTTTAGGAGGGCTCATTTCCTCAGAAAAAAGTAAAAGAAAGCTAACCAAGTTCAAGTGCCTCTGGAATTTCGAAGTGAAGTACATCCACCTGTTATTGTTATGTAGCATGTCATGATAAAAATAAACTGCTCTTAAGAAAAGAATAAACATCATTCACTGTCTAAGCATGGGGCTGTTTAGGAGATGAGCTTCAGGAACTGCTCTCCTCAAGGCTCCAGAGGCATCTGTTAATTCAGTAGCAGAGCAGTGCCCTCCTCACCATGGCCCTGATGTTACACATAAATGTCATTCCTTTAGAAAAGAGCGAGAAGCTTAAAAATAAATACCTATAAGTAGAAGCAAGCATTGCGGTTAGTTTTGAATTGGCTTTATTGACATTTCTGTCTAGGGTTCTGTTACTGCAGAATTCAGAAAGCAGAACAACCAAATTCATTTCATTTAGGACAAAAGTGGTTAGAAGTTGTTTGAAGGGCAAAAACCCCTCCAAATACCATTTACACACAGAACCATTTACATACATCTTCACCTTTACTTTGGGCCCTTAATTCTGATATATAACAAAGTATTTCGCTAATTTTACTTCAGTGATGTAAAACCAAATCAGATGTGGAAACCCAGTTCATTCTGCTTTTCTTGGTGCAGCAAGGCAGAAAAGCTCCTTAAGAAGCTTCACTTCAGCCAGCTGAGGTATGAGGAGCAGATTTACTTTCTGTGGCCTCTCCATTTGCAGGGCAGGAGAGAGGCAACCATTAGTGAATGTGAACAAATTTCCCAGTTTTCCTCCTCTTACCACACAGAAACATGTCACGTGCATCAGAGCCTCCTGTGAGGCTCCACTGAGAGCTCCAGATGGGGAGAGAGAAGACTCTCACTACAATCAGCTCTCCCCATCACATGAGCAGCTACCTGAACTGTGCCCTGGAGGCAATTCTAGCTCTGAGGAAACATATGCTTCTATTGTAGAAATAGCCCTCTCCAGGGAAGCCCTGCTGCTCAGGATCAAAACTAGGCCAGACTTCAAAGTGGCAGCGGCACAACAGAAAATAGATGGCAGAGGTTCTCCCTTTGCCTCCAGCTCCTCGTGGCATTTCACTGTCGTTAACTGCAAAGTTGAGGAACTCAGAATGCTGCAAACTGCATGTGGCACTTTTAAACCATCACTTGCTCCTCTGCCATCCCCTTCTTTTGTGTTTTGTTTTGCTGATGAGCTTCACGTAGCTTCCAAACAGTGAGTCAGGCTCCCAGTCCTGCTGACACTGCCCCCAAGAAAAGGCTCCAGGAAAAATCACTTCTCTTTCAGGAGGCAATAAAAGACCTCTTTCTTCCTCAGGTCTGCTGCAGAAAGATGAGAAGAACTTTAAAGAAAAAAATTTTAAAAGTTCAATAGGTGGGAGGAAACCAGACAAAGCTGAATTCACAGGACTTTGTGCTATATAATCAGCCCCACATACACTGCTGTATACACTTCTGCTGGTTATTTGAATGAATGCTTTAGAAAATACTCTTTTCAAAAGGAATACATCCACATAAAAGCTGTACCACCAGACTCTAGCTTACCTTCATGAAGACATCCACAGAAAAAGCAGAGAAAAAACATATTTTTTCTAGCATATTTAACCTGGGAAGGTGGATAGCAGTTTCAGTACTGTCCTAAAAGACCTATTTAGCAGTACATGAATACATGTAAGTGTATGAATAAGTACACGAATAATCTTACTGACTCTCTTAGCAAAGTACTCAAGTCCCTCACAAGACCAGAGCCTTACTTGCTTCTGGTTGTGTTTCCAAACAGAAGCTAAACTCCTTTTCCAACAAGACCATGGAAATCCAAAGGTGCAGAAGTCCTCACTTAGTCACCTGATGGTTCACCATTATCCACCCTAAACAGTCAGAAGTTTTCAGAGAGTAAGGATCACATCTTTATTTACTTCTGTGAGCCACCTACTGTATCTTTTGTGTATCCCATCAGACACTCCTTGACCAACCTCACACACACACGCACATCCCTCGTGGCTTTTCCCGGCAGCCTCAGAAACCCAGGGGGTTCTTCCAACACACAGTGCTGGTCTGTGGGGCTCAACCTTACACACTTTGGGTGAAAAGACATCTTGTTTCCTGCTTAGTAGGCATGCACTGTAATGAAACTTCTATTTTATCACTAAATCACGACCTCCTGGACATATCAATGTACTCACACCGGACCAGTGCATCCAATGGCACAAAGGACAGGGCTCAATCACCCTGATGTAACAAGCCGAACTCTAAATCCTTTATTAGTTATACCTGGGACTATGTACTGACATACGCAAGCCTTAAGGAATGGTGAAGAAGGTTTTAGAAATTCTGATTTCTCTCCATTATTGTCCTGCGGGAGCCGTCCACAGGGGCGTCCCTGCTGGAGCATGCAGTGTGTCATTGCTGGAGCACAGCTGTGTCCGAGCTGGAGCACGGCTGGGTCCCCAATGGAGCAGGGCAGTGTGTCATTGCTGGAGCAGGGCAATGTCCCCGCTGGAGCACGGCATTGTCCCCGCTGGAACAAGGCAGTGTCCCCGCTGGAGCACGGCATTGTCCCCACTAGAACAAGGCAGTGTCCCCGCTACAGCCGGGCACTGTCCCCGCTGCCCGCCCGGTCCTTGACCCGCGGCACGGCGGGGAGCAGAGGGGACAGTGCCATATGAGCCCCGCAGTTTTGATGCCGCAGACACAAGCGCGCTTCGCCGGCGGAGCCGCTGCCTCCCCAGGCGGTGCGGAGCGCAGCCCGGGCTGCAGCCAGGCACGCCGCTCGCCCCTGCCCTTCTCCACTGACTCGTGGCCAGCTCGGATGAACCCCTTGTTCCTGCCGCTCGCTGCGGGGCCAGCCCGCTGCCCCGGGCGGGCGGCGGCTCCCGGCGGAGCTCCCCGCTGGCGGCGGGGGCGGCCCGAGGCGGGGGCCGGTCCCGCCCCGCCCCGCCCGGCCCGGCCCGGCCCGGCCCCGCCGGCCGCCCGGGGGCCGCGCCATGTGCCGCCGCCCGCCGCGGGGCCGCGCCGCGCTCGCCGCCGCACGGAGCGTGCGAGGGGCGGCCCGTGCGGGGAGCGAGCGCCGGCAGCGGGGACAGCGGGTCCATGGAGCACAACCACCTCCACCTCCACAACGGCTCGCTCCTGGCGCACCACCGCTATGGCTGCGGCTTGGGGTACGCACCTGTGGTCTACTACAGCCTGCTGCTCTGCCTCGGGCTGCCGGGTGAGTGCCGCGGGACGGGCGAGGCTGCGGGGCCCCGGCAGCGCCCGCCGGAGCGGCTCCTGCCCGCTGTGCGGGGCGGGGGCAGCGCCCGCCGTGTCCTCGGGATGCCCCGGGCTCCGCGTGCCCGGCGGGATGGGCGCGAGAGGTTCGGACAGCGGCGTTTCCCGGACAGCAGCGTCCCCCGGACAGCAGCGTCCCCCGGACAGCAGCGTCCCCCGGACAGCTGCGTTTCCCGGATAGCAGCATCCCCCGGACAGCAGCATCCCCCGGACAGCCGCATCCCCCGGACAGCAGCTTCCCCCGGGACAGCAGCATTTCCCGGACAGAAGCATCCCCCAGACAGTACCATCATCTCCCCGCCCGGAGCGCTGCCGTCCCGGCGCTGCCTCCCTTGCCGGGGTTTGTCCCTGCCTGCCCTCGCTCTCCCCCGCGACTTCGGGCATCCTGACTTTGAACTTGACACACAGAGTCAGCCTGTCGCGAAGTTTGTGCCATTGTCGTTGTGGCCATGGAGTACCAGAGCGGTACCCGGACGGCCGGGTGCCCACCTCGCCTGCCTGGCCGGCAGTGAGCACAAGTGTAGCTGCCGAGTTTTTCTGCTGCCAATCCCCACTCGACTCCGTGGGGCAGGGCTGGCTTTAGGAAGGGACATGCCACCACCACGGCACTTGACTGGGGAAGGAGCACGCTGTCAGGAGCTTAGCAGGCAGCTGCAATACTCGTGAGTCTGCCCCTGTGCTGGTGGAGCAGGACAGGAGGTAGAAAGTCCAGTCTTGAGGTCAGTGTGCTGCAAGGCAATGGCCATGCAGGCACTGAGACCCCTGAGTGCAGGTACAGGGCTCAGAAGAAAGTCCCAGCTGACAGGCAGCAGTCTCCAGAGTGTATAATCCTGAGCAAAATTTCCTGCTCAAAAAGGGGACAAAGACATTATAGAGATGCTTGGAATGGGAAAAGCTAGAAGCAGCATAAACAAGGAAGGAAAGGATGTCCCAAGCTTGGATGTGAACACCTGTGAGCAGCACTGGCAGCACACAGCCCCAGCCGTGCCGATGCCACACGAGCATCACATGGGCAGCACTGTCTGAGCCCAGACAGGCACTGAGCAGCTGCTTCCCCCCGAGGGGCTGCCAGTGAGATGCCTCAGCACACAGGACCGAGGGGAGATGCTGTGGGCAGAGCTGCCATCCCAGCACAGCTTGGGTGCACAAACAGCGTGTCTTGCGCACTGGCTTAACGCCTCCAGCCTGAGAGTGACTTAGAGTGATCCCAAGGACAGGGTGAATAAGTTGGGGAAAAGTTCTGGTGCACCAAGGTGAATTGGTATTTTAAGGTGTGGTAAAGGAGAGTTTGGTTGTGTCTGTGCAGAGCTACACATTTTAAGTGCCGTGTGGAATGGCAAGCAGCAATGATGGGTCATAGTCTGCAGTTTCTAAATGCTTGTTCACCTCCATTCCTTCTTCAAGCAATTATTTCATAGAAAAATTTTTAATCAGACATGAAGAGAAGCCTGCCTCTGAGCAGCACGCATGCAATTACCACTCTCTGTATGAATTGATGTGCTTTGTGTTGTTTTGGTTTGGGGGGTTTTTTTCCCCCATTTCTGGCTTGCAATTAAAATTTCCCAATTGGCTAATAGTTCAGAGAACTGGAAAGTTAAGTCCTGTATTTACCCACAGAGGATGCAGGGCACAGGCAAGTGTCTGTGCTCCAAAACATTGATGAGTCTCAGCCCTGACCTGAAGAGACCCAGCCAGCAGGGATAGGAGGTTGTTTCCTCTTTATTAATTCCTCACAGGCTGCTTAGATGTCCACAGTAATGACAGGCTCTGATTTCAGCGCCAGTCCCCCAGGAACTGGGCAAGACCCACTCAGGATTATCAGGTGAAGCAGTTGTCATGAAGCACTCTGTGGCTAAGTTTGCCTTTGTGTGTTTCTGAAATGGGGAAAAGTCTTGAGTGCACAGACAAGAAAAATCATTTAATGAACATTCTGCACATACTTGCACCAGCTCCCTGGGGATACTGCATTGTAATTACAGACCTAACACTGTCATTCTAGGGGCAGAGTTAAAATCAGACGTGGTCCAAATTAGCAGTGGTCTCCTGCATTTCTCAGGGGATCAGACATCAGTTGATTAGAGCAGTGGCACTGGTGCCAGTGCTTAACAGCACTAGCCAAAGCATGTGGTGGTGCTGAGTTCAGTGGGCTTAGATCAGGTGTGGATGTGTCCAGAGCACATTATTTGAGGATAGCATTGGCACTGACAGCTGGACTCCCAGCACATGCACAGTATGCTGAGTAAATGCACAGCTGAGTGCATGAGAAATTCATGAGACTGCCCAGAGATGAGAACAAGCTGGATGTGCTTAGGGGAAGACTCACACAGCCAGCCTTCATTGAGGATGGGGTACAGGGTGACACCAGTGTTAAAAAGAGCTTTCATGTTTTAATTTGAAGCTGCTCTTCAGTTTTTTGACATTAGAAATTTGTAAAGGTAGCAGACTTTATTGGCTGTTAGAAAAAGAGTCCTGAATTATGTGGGATCCTAATTAGCTCAGTGTGATGCCATGAATTTAAGAGAAACCCTGTCTAGGATGTGTCCTCAAACACAGCGCTAGTGCAGTGTTTTGCTGAATTGGAAAGAGTTAACTCCTTGCCACGAATCTTGGAGAAAGACTGAGGATAAGAGAAGCCAGTTAACTGTTTCTGCCTTTCCTACTGTACTGTCTGAAGGAAATTTCACTAACTCAACAACTCCACGTTGAGGCCAAGCGCTGCCAGGCCTGGCTGTGTGTGCAGGAGAAGCATCCTCTGCCTCCTGCCCCTGTATAAACCAGGCACTTCAGCAGAGCCTGCTCTCAGCAGTGGCTCCTTCTCCCTCTCTGTTCAACCAGGCACCAGAAAGCCTGTAAAAAGCACAGAGGAGAGCAAAGTGAACTCCCTTCAGTGCTGCTCTGGCTGCACCCACAGAGGCACCACTGCACACTGACCCTGCATGGCTGGTACTGCAGCCCAGGTGCCTGCAGCTCTGCCAGGGGTCATCGTGCCTTTAGGCAGCTGGGCCAGGAGGCTGCTGCTTTTCCCTCTAAGCAGAGGCTGGTGAGACAGAGACAGCTTTCTGAAACTTGTTTTGAGTGCAGGTGTGCAAAGGTGTCCCACAGGTACGTGGTCCTGCTACCAGGAGGGGGGTGTCTCAGGATAAGGCTGCAGGGAGCAAGGAGAAAATGCCAGGCAGAGGCACTGGAAGTGGGGTTCTCTCCCATTTACAGGGTAAACTTTTATGGAGCATTTATGGAGCTGTTCTGCAGCCCCTGCTCTGTTAACCCTATACTCCCCTTGTCTGTCAGAGAGAACCTCTGAAGAACCTGCAGATAGCTGGGAGGCAAGAGAAGGGCTGGAAAAAGTCTTAATAGAAGTGTTCCTTGCTTTAGTGAGAGAAAATGCTAGGGAAGGGGTGGTGTTGGATGTGGAGGAGGGAATAAATTGCTCTGATTCAGTCCAAGAGGGGGCTGGTAAAGGTGAGAAAGCAAAGATCAACAGGTACCACTCTCAGTCGGTCCCTTTGTCAGTGAGGGCTGCACAAAGCAGCTGCACCAAAGAGCTCCTTCTGTGCTGGGGCCACTGAACACAACCAAGAAGGTCAGGCACAGAAGCAGCACTGCTTGCTGCAGACACCTGGCTTTGACCTTGATTCCTGCTTCATCAGGGGGAGAAGCAGCAGTGGAGTTGCCTTGCATGCAGTCACTTTTCCATCAGGAATGGAGTGTATTGCTGCTGGAAGGACACAGCATTTCCTAGATCAGGGTCTGGCCTGATCCAAGTTCTCAGGGCTCATCCCCTCCTGACAGTGTGAGAGGCAGAGTGAAATCTGGCTTCCTTAGCCAGTCCCAGTGGGATTGCTGGTTCCATTTGCTCCCCAGTCAGTTCCCTACCTGGGATGTGCTTTGGCTCTGGGGATCATTGCATCCCAGTGACACAAAGCACAGCACCTTTACCGCATCTCCAGAAGGCAACAGACTCACAGCAACACCCCAGGGAAGTGCCACTCCAAACTTCAGGAGCCTGGTCCACAGCTGCTTCCTTTATTTGTGCTTTAGGTTTTTGCAGTAACCCAGTCAAACTGATCTAAATGTAGATTCAGGACTATACAAGCTTGGGAAGGCAGCCTGGACATGCTTGGATGCTCCCAGCTGGAAGGTGTGAACAGGTAGAGTTCATGTCAGACCTGCTGCTGAACAAGGTGACGTGGAGATGGGGACAACCTGGGTCACTGAAAGCCCAGCCAAGCACAGAGTGCATTCACAGGGCTCCACGTGGAGGGAGAGAAACTGCAGTCCTGACCTGGAGAAATTGTCAGCTCAGCAGGGGTGCCTAACTGGTTTAACACTCTGTGAAGAGACAGATACACGTTATGGACCTTGCCCTGACAGATGACAGGTTGCTGTCCTTGCACAGCAGGGCAGATGCTTCCCAGGGTGTTGGATTGGCACACGGTGCACTGTGCCCATGCAAACTGCACTGTAGTCATAGGCATGGAAAAGATGGAGACCTGATCCTTCTGAGCCTTCTCTCTCTATAAAGTTTGGAATAAGGAGGCTGTCTGGGGGATGTGCGTGCCTGGGTCACCATCCTGGCAGGGCAGGTCCTGTTGGTGGGCTGAGCATCCCTGATCAGAGACCACCACTGTGCAGCAGCCCAGCTGTGCTCCCTGCACCCCTCAGCTGTGTGGGGGAACAGGACCTGGAGGGCATTGCTGTCCCTGTGCCACAGCTGTGACCCAGCTGGCCCCACGAGCAGAAAGGGGCACAGCCAGCAATGTTTGTGGGTGACTCACGTGGTGTGTAGTAGCAGTAAATGCCAAAGCAGGCAGAGGGAGGTGTACACAGAGCACACAGCACTGTGAGGTGTCTGACTCCTTTTGGATTCTTGCCATCTGCTGCCTAGTGTATTCTTCTGCAATCACAGTACAGGCTTCTGATTAAAGAGACCATTTCCAACAC